CACAGCCTCTACAGGAATGACGGCAGCGAGCAGGTCTTCAGTGTGAGCAAGATCATCATCCATCCCTACTGGAACAGGAACAACGTCGCCGGGGGGTAACACACGTGGGGAGGGGGATTTGGGGGGGCAGCGTTGCTGGGAAGGGGGGCGGTCCTTGCAACATCCTCTCCCTCCTCTCACCAGCTACGACATCGCCCTGATCCGCCTGTCCAGCTACGCCACCCTGAACAGCTATGTGCAGCTGGCGGTCCTGCCCCGGGAGGGGTCCATCCTGTCCAACAACTACCCCTGCTACATCACGGGCTGGGGTCTCACCCGCAGTGAGTGCCAACAGGCCTCCCCGGCCCTAAATCACCCAAAAAACGTGGGAAACGTGGGGAGCTGAATGACATTTTTAAGCCCTTTGAGGTCCCAGGAGGCATCACACAGGGCTTCACTCCAGGCATGGAGATGCCCCATGTTGGGTGGGGTCGTACCAAGGTTTTGGGGGGGGGATTTTATGCAGGAAAAGGGGCTCGATGGCGGCTACGGGCTCTGCTTTGGTGAGGGGGGAGTTTGCCGAGTCTCGCAGGTCTTTGCCGGTATGGCATTAACCAGCGCTTGGTTGCATGCAGCCAACGGGCAGCTCTCCAGCGTCCTGCTGCAGGCGTACCTGCCCGTGGTGGACTACCAGATCTGCTCCAGCCCCTCCTACTGGGGCTCCACTGTCAAGACCACCATGGTCTGCGCCGGCGGTGATGGCGTACGCTCCGGCTGCCAGGTATGACCCCAACATCCCGCTTTCCCCCCCGGCATCCCACCGCCATCCCCGTTTCTCCCATCTCATACGGGTTCCTCGGTCCGGCAGGGCGATTCGGGCGGTCCCCTGCACTGCGCGGTGAACAGGCAGTACCAGGTTCACGGCGTCACCAGCTTCGTCTCCGGTCTGGGCTGCAACGTCGAGCGCAAACCCACCGTCTTCACCCGCGTCTCTGCCTACATCTCCTGGATGACGAGCGTAAGGCGACGGCGGGGCTTGGGCAGCCAGGGGCTGAGAACTGGCGCTATCGTTGCACCGATGCACCAGCTCTATCCCTCTGCTCGGCTCGACCATTGCCTTTCTTCTCCTTCCAGGTGATGGCCCAGAACTGAGCGGTGGCAGGAGAGGAGCCCGGTCCCCGGCTCGGGCGATGGACATCATCTTCCCCCACCTTTCGGTCGGAAGGGTTTAAAACCCATAGCCAGTGTCAATAAAATTTGTTCCTCTCTCTGGCACGCTGGTGGATGCTTTGCCCCACAGCCCGGCAATCCTTTCTCCTCCAAGCCTCAGCATCCTTTTCCCCCCCCCTATTCCAGAGCATCCCTTTGGCCGCGTCCCTCCTCTTCCTCGCACCTTAGGAAAGAGCTGTGGGGAAAAGGGACCGGCCTCACGCTCTTGGGGCAGCCAGAAAGGCCTCGGGATAACGGGAAAGGAGAAAATGCTGCAAATCCCCTCTGTGAGCAGCGATGCAGCTCCTTGGTTATGCAGGGGGGATGCAGGGGGATCCAGTTGGGATTTTTCGCTGCCGCTAGCTCCATTTCTCTTCCAAAACCGACCTCCTTTGCAATGAGAGATGTTGGATTTGGTGGCTGTTACTGCCTCGCCCCACCGCTGCATCCTGGAGGAGCTGACTGTGCCACAACCCCACCTGGCATGGGGATAAAAAGCCAGCACCAAAATTGCACCAAAATCCAAATTTAACCCCAAAACCAGACGCTTGTGGGAGAATTACGAGACGGGCGCAGGTTTCCCTCACCCATTTGGCCCACCCATGTCGCTGGGTGCACGGGGGGAGCCTTTCCGGGGGGGAGCGCGGTGGGGGGTGCCCGGGTGCTCGGCGGATGCCAGCAGCTGCCTCGCCTTGAACTTCCTCCGTAGCAAACATCAAACCGCAGTGGGCGGCTGCGAGCAGGAACCGAGCTGCAGCCATGGCAGAGGGCAAGAGCGGGGGAGCCGGGCTCTTTGCCAAGCAGGTCCAGAAACGGTTCAGCCGGGCGCAGGAGAAGGTACGGCGCGATGCCCAGCCCCAAATCCCCTTACTTTATTTTACTCTTTAATTTTTTTCTACTGCGGCGCTGAGGGGGTGGCACAACAGGCACCACTCGGCACCCATGGGTGCTCATAGGGTGTTGATTTGGGCGTTTCTGAGTCAACATCATCGTTGCTCCAAGGCTTTGGGCTTGATGGCCTCTCCCCAAAGTCCCCCAAGCTGCTCTGGCAGCTGCTGGGTTCTCTAAAAGTGGGATTTTTCCACCCAAAACGTCTTCCGGTAGTTACGGGGGGACCGTGCGCTGCTGGCACAGGGTCCCTCGGGCTGGCCAGAGGTGACAGTCCCCAGCGGGACCCGATGTGGGGATGGTCCCAGGAACGCTGGCGTAGCCTGCGCCGGCCACGCAGGAAGCGAGGGGGAAGGGCTCCGGAAGCGGGCAGAAGTGGGGCGATTCTCAGCTGTTTTGGGGGTGGTTCAGAGGCGTCTTTTTCCCTTTCTCTCTCCAAAAAAGCAGGCAGCGACTCCCATTTTGGGGGCGATGCGAAGCCCCCCCCAAACCAAACCCAACCCACACACTCCCGGGTTTCCTGGCTGGGGCTTGGTGCTAAATTCAGCTCCCCCGCGGCGTATCAGCCCAGGCCAGGCCCCGGCCCCTTCCTGGGGGGGGGTCAAACTCTTCCTGGACACCCCAAAGCTCCCTCCTGCGTGGCCCCGGCCCCACCGTGCTCCTGTGATGGTGGCTCCAGAGGCAGCCTTCAGCCCGCAGACCATCCTCATCCTCAGCACGGTATCACCGGTGCCCAGTGAGGCAGCACCCAGGGCTTTGCCTGCACCCATAGTCACGTGCACGGATGTTTTGGGGTACATAGGGCTGTACCTACAGGGTTTTACAGGTTAGGGTGATGGGTTAGCACCCAAAAAGTCACCGTTTTCCTCTAAAAAAATAAAAGCACCAAAGGATACGCCGAAAGTTTGCATCCCCCCATCCAAATCACCACTCGGCATCGGCTCCGCCAGATCCTCAGCATCCCCCCAAGCGCAGCTTTTTCCAGGGCTGCCCCGGCTCCCCGCCAGCAGGTAGAGCCCGGTGGGCAGCACCGAGCTCGGGGCTGACGGCTTTTCCCCCATCTCCACCTCTCTCCATCCCAGGTTTTGCAGAAATTGGGCAAAACGGTGGAAACCAAAGACGAGCAGTTCGAGCAAAGCGCGTACAACTTCCACCTGCAGCAGGTCACACCGGGGAGCGGGGAAGCAGGGGGATGGGGACACCCCTCATTGGGCAAAACGGTGGAAACCAAAGACGAGCAGTTCGAGCAAAGCGCGTACAACTTCCACCTGCAGCAGGTCACACCGGGGAGCGGGGAAGCAGGGGGATGGGGACACCCCTCCACCAGCCCTCGACCCCGCTGTCTCCCGGGGTCCCTCCGTCCCCGCC